CTGCATTATGCAGGTGTGCTGTTTACATTACATTATAAGAAACTCAAGTCTCAGTTCTTTTTTCCAGTAACATAGCATCATGCCTAAATTTCAAATATAAAAAAGGATTGTTAACAGTAAAAATAATAATGATTGTTATTACTTAGAATTTTGAAAATTGTTTTTCAGAATGAATAAAATGTGGTTTTGATTATCTGGTTGCTGAATATATTGTAACTTTTAAAGCTTCTCAACCAGTCACCTAGTCAAACACATTGACATTTCTGCTACATAGCAATAGATGTTCACATTCTTGTTGTTGGTAATTACTCTTAAATTTGAATCTGACTCACTGTGACCTTACCTATTGTGATTGTTGTTGTTAGGTGCCATGGAACCAGATGCGACTCACAGCTAGTCTATGCAATGATAGGATGAAACACTGCCCAGTCTTGCACCATCCTCACAGTTATGTTTGAGCCCATTGTTGCTGCCACTGTATCAGTCCATCTCATTGGAGTCTTCCCCTTTTCTGTTGACCCTCTAATTTACCAAGCATGGTGTCCTTTCTAGAGGCAGTCCCTGATAACTTATCCAAATTATAGGAGATGAAGTTTTGCCATCTTTCTTTCTAAGAAACATTCTGACTGTACTTCCTCCAAAACAGATTTATTTGTTCTTCTGAAATTCATGATACTTTTCAATAATCTTCCTTAATACCATAACTCAAATGCATCATTTTTGCTTTGGTCTTCCTTATTCTACTTGGTTAAATGAAGGATTGGAGAAAAAGAGGAAGACTCTCAATGCAATGTATTGGCATAGTGTCATCATCAACAGGTTCAAGTGTAGCAAGGATTGTGAGGTTGGCACAGAACTGGGCAGTATTTCATTCTGTTGTGCATAGGGTCATGTTGAGTTGGTATGGACACAGTGGAACCTAAGAAGAAGAAGAACAACAACAACTTCCTTATTCACTGCTCAATTTTTATATACATATGAGGCAATTGAAAATATCATGGTTGGGATCAGGATCACCTTAATCTTCAAAGTGATATCTTTGAAGATATCACTTTGCAAAAAAGAGATCTTTTGCAGATTTGCTAATGCAACATGTCATTTGATTGCATGTCTGCTGCATAGATTTTGCATTCAAGAAAAATTAAATCCTTGACAATTTCAAATGTTTCTGTTTACCATAATGTTGTTTATTGGTTCAGTTGTGATGATTTTCATTTTCTTTACATTGAGTTTTTATCCATATTGAAGGCTATATCCTTTGATCTTCATCATCAAGTGCTTCACGTTCTCTTGGCTTCCAGCCAGCAAGTTTGTGTCATCTGCATATCATAGGATCATAAGTTTTTATGCCTTGTTCTTCATTCTTTTTCATGCAATCCAGCTTCTTGGATGATGTGTTCAGCAATTGGCAGTCCATTATTTCCTGGAAACTTGTTTATCACTAATGCCTTTAATGCAACTTGGGCTTCTCCTTTAATGTCAGTGGTTCTTGATCATATGCTATCTTTTGAAATTATTGAACATCAACCAATTGTTTTTGGTATACAGACTTTGTGTATTCTGTCCATCTTCTTTTAATTTTTCCTGCATCACTTAATGTTTTGCCCATAGAATTCTTCAATACTGCCACCTGAGGCTTGAGTTTTTTCTTTAATTCTTTCAGTTTGAGAAATCCTGTGTCTGTTCTTTCCTTTGGGTTTTCTATCTCCGTGTCTTTTCACCTTTTATTTTCTCTAGCTGTCCTTCAAAATTTTTCTTTCAGCTCTTTTATTTCATCATTTCTTCTAGATACTTTGTTTTATAAGTTCAAGACCAAGTTTCAGTGTCTTTTGATATCCACTTTGATCTTTTTCTTTCTTGGCTTTTAAATGGCATTTTGCTTTCTTCATGTATGGCGTTCATGTATGATATCACCTCACAATTTCTCTGCCCTTTGGCCAATATTGTTCAATGATTCAAATCTTGAGATGATCTGGTGGGTTATATTCAAGGTTGTATTTTGGCTGTCATGGATATGTTTTCATTTTCTTCAGCTTCAGCCTGAACTTGCATATGATCAATTGATGGTCTGACATTTGGCTCTTGGACTTGTTTTGGCTGACAGTATTGAGTCTCTCCATTGACTCTTCCCACAGATATAGTCAATTTAATTTATGTGTATTCCTTCTGGAAGGAGACCTAGTAGTGTAGTGGATTATGAGCTGGGCTGCTAACTGCAAGATCAGCAGTTCGAATCTACCAGTCACCCCATGGGAGAATGATGAGGCTTCCTGCTCCAATAAAGATTTGCAGCCTCAGAAGCACTATACAGGGTCACTATGAATTTGAACCAACTCAGTGGCACATAACCATCACCACCATTCTGTCTGGAAAGGTCCATGTGTATAATCATTTCCATTGAGAAAAGTTATGTCATTTACATAGTACAGGTTGTGAATGAGACATCCTCCAATCCTGATTTGATGTTCTTCTTCATGTAATCCAGTTTCTTAGATTATTTACTCAACATACAAATTGAATAAATACGGTGAAAGGATGAAACCTGGCACACACATTTCCTGATTTAAAACCATTCAGTGTCCCCTTGTTCTGTTCAAACAACTGCCTCTTGGTCTATGTAAAGGTTCTTGAGGAGTACAATCAAGTGTTCTGGAATATCCATTCTTCACAATGCTATCCATACTATGTTATGATCCAGTCAGATACTTTTGCATAGTTAATAAATCACAGCTAAACATCTTTCTATTATTCTCTGTTTTCAACCAAGATCTATTTGACATCAATATGATATCCTTTATTTCATGTCCTCTTCTGAATACAGACAGCTCACTGTTAATGCATTGGTACAATTGTTTTTAAATTATTTCAGCAAAATTTTACTTGTATGTGATATGAATTATTGTTCTATGATTTTCACATTTTATTGGGCCACCTCTCTTTGGAATGGGCAAATATAAGGCTTTCTTTCAATCAGTTGACCAGGTTTTCTGGGAATATTTATGAGTGAGCATCTCTAGCACTACATTATTTTTTGGAAAGATTTCAATTTATATTCCACTAGTTCCTGGAGCCTTGTTTTTTGCCAATGTCTTCAGTGTAGCTTGGACTTCTTCACTCACTATCATTGGTTCTTAATCATATACTAATTCTTGAAATGGCTTAGCATCGACCAATTCTTTTTGGTACAGTGCATCTGTGTATTCCTTCTATCTTCTTTTAATGCTTTCTGCATCATTCAATATTTTGTCCATTGAAATCCTTTAATGTTGCAACCTGAAGCTAGAATCTTTCTTCAGTTCTTTCTGCTTGAGAATTGCTTAGCATGCTCTTCCCTTTTGGTTTGCTAATTCCAGGTCTTTGTACCTTTCCTTGTATTACTTTACTTTGTCTTCTAGGGCTGCCCTTTGAAATGTTCTGTTTGCTCTTTTACTTCATCGTTACTGTCAGTCACTGTAGCTTCTCTACACAGAAGAACAAGTTTCAGAGACTTTTCTGACATCCGTTTTTGTCTTTTCCTCCTTTCCTGTCCTTTTAATGCCCTTTTGCTTTCTTCTTGGATGATGTTCTTGATGTCATATCACAACCCTTCTGGTCTTCTGTCATTAGTGTCTAATGCATCAAATCTGTTCTTGAGATGGTCTCTAAATTCAGGTGGGATACAATCAAGGTCATATTTTGGCTCTCATTGATTTGCTTTAATTTTTTTCAGTTCCAACTTGATCTTGTATATCTTTCTGCTTGTAAGCTTATGCTTGATGGCATCAAATGTCTGGTTCAAATATGTTGGCAAACTTTTAGTCACTATGATTCAGATTTTTCATCTTTGAAATCAGTATAATAATAGAACCTACTTCATAGATTGTTATGTTGTTGTTGTTGTCAAGTGCTGTCTAGTTGGTTCCAACACATAGCAACCCTGGATAGGGTTTCCAAGGGGTGACTGGTGAGCTTGAACTACCTACCTTGAGGTTCAAACTGAGTCGATCCTGATGTGGTGCTGTAGGATAAGCACTGGACCACAATGTTGGTATGAAATACAAGGTGGACAGTTCAAACTTACCAGTCACTCCACGGACTGGGTTGCTATGAGTCAGAAATGACTTGATGACAGTACATACATATGCACAGAGATATAGACAGCATCAGACAATAGACTATTTTATAAAGCCAGGTTGTAAATATGCCTGATACTTAAGAATCCTAAATTTCTCAGCATTATCTATTCCCAAGTAGAGAAGTTCTCTAACTTGGTTTGGTATGAAGGTTGCTGAAGAAGGAAAATATGTTCCCTTCTCAATTTTAAATAAGATCAGACTAAGGTCTTTGGGAGGCAGGTGTCAGTGCTAAGAAAGCTGTACTAAGCAATCTATAAGAATTTGTGAAAATACAATTTCTTTCTTAAAGAAGAAACTTCAATTACTGAAAAGGAGATAAAAATTTCTTTGTGGGAAAACTTTTTAGCAATAATGTTTCTTGTATAAATTAATTCATTTTATGAATGCGATGTCTGAAATGTCAAACAAAAGTTCCTATATACCTGAACTTCCTCGGCCCTCCCTCCGTTCTGTTTTCTTCCTGTCATCGTGGTAAATCTCACCTCTGATTTCTCCGGGAGCTCCAGAGGTTTCTTGACCATATTCCTAACTCATTTATGAAGCTTTCTGTGTACTGGGACTTGATATATATCACTAATCACTTTACAGCCTTCACTTTTAAAACATTTTTGTATAACCCTTTCATTCATGTTCCTGGAATTTGTATAAAACCACAGAAGTTTTTGTTTTTTTTTTCTTTTCCTTTTTGAACTAAAGGTTGTTAGTTTGTGGAATTTCCTTTAACTGGAAGCACGTATGAGTCTGTGGTTTTAGTGTTTCCCTCGTTTTATAATATCCTCCTTGTTTGTTTTTATTTTCAAAGCTGGAGAATTGACCATTATTTTTCAGATTTCATGGAGGACTAACCTTTTTCCTTCCCATTTTTTTTCTTTTCCTTTATTCCAGTTGAAAGAGACAAGGATTTCTCTCACCAACGAAGGCATTACAAAGAATTTCGATTTGATCTTACTCAAATTCCTCATGGAGAAGCAGTGACAGCAGCTGAATTCCGGATATACAAGGATCGGAGCAACAATCGATTTGAAAATGAAACAATTAAGATTAGCATATATCAGATCATCAAGGAATACACAAATAGGTATCACCTTTATATCTAATTATATATGCAAGCACAGAAATGTTAAATTGTAGTAAAACTCATTGAAAACTCATGTGATATATTGCAAAGTATTTTCTTTGGTTGTAATGATATTCAGGGCCAGTTATAGATACAAAAAAAAAAAAAAAGAGAGAGTAATTGTTCTGAAAAATCCTTGTATTTTTATAACCCTTTCCTACTCATGACACCAGTCTGTGTACTAAATGGTCTCATGCTTCCCCATAACAGTCTTTTTAGGTAGGATATGATAATCTGACAAAAAAAAAAGAGGGAAAAAAACCCCCAAAAACCAGGATTTAAAAGCAATTTGTTCTTCATTTTTTTTCTTGTTATTAATACCATTTAATTATCTGCATCTCCCCTCCACCTCCCACACATACATACAGACACACAAAGGAGACAAATGCATTTTTAAATTTCCTTTATATAATGGGAAATTTTCTTTATAATTTGGAACTTTGACTTTAATTCTCTAAAAGAAAGGATAAATAGATTCTAAATGCTTCATTTTTCTATTATATTACCACAAAACAATAATAACTTCAACCTTAAAAGTTAATTTTAGATCTAATTTTTCAGTTTGATTATTTGTTGTTTCACATATTTCTTAATAACTTAAGTAGAGGTAGGAAAAAGGAAAAACAAAACATTAGAGCTTTTGGCTAGTTTCAAAACTATGATCATTTCTTGAAATTTCTGTCATCTAATCTGTAGGTTTTACATACTTTGGATTTTGAATTAAACTCAGAAACAAATGAAATGTAAGTGGAAACTATACTGGTAAATATAGAGCATGCTACATATTCTCACATATGCAAAACTCACTTTGTCAAAGGTATTGGTCAGAATTATTGGCACTGGAGATCATTACAGTAAGCTAGCATGATATTTTATAATTTTATATTTAATACATCATCTGATCTATGAATCACCCATTTTATGAATTCTTGGACTGTGTTATAGAACGAAATAAAGTAAAAATTACTTATTCATTATGTCATTTCTTTTCCCTCTCATTTACCTTAATGAGACTTAAAACTCTTTAAATTATATGTTGTATTTCAACTACCTTCCACCTCTCTCATTTATCCCCACTCATATTTAAATGTGTGCAATTTAAAGGAGTGTTCTGATATTTACTCAAAATTATTTTTCTTGGTTAAAAGTTTGCACACTTTGCATCATTTCACTTTACTGAATCTTTTCATATAAGGCTGACAGCCTCAAATTCTGTGTAGAAGGCATTACTCTTCAATCACACCTCATATATCTAGCATTATTGAGAAATGAGGTTTCCCACATGATTGAATTTTCCAGATAATTCTGCTGAGTCCAGCATGCTTTTGTTGATCACCTACCATGTGGCAAATGAAGGGGACATAAGGCCAAGTAAATAAGGCCTCCAAAGCTCAGAGCCTGGGGTCTTGAGCCTGTGGTGGGCCTGCCTCACACAGGCTTTAATAAGTATAATACAATGTGCTAAGCACTATGATGTAAGTATGTACGAAGTGTTGTGGAAATACAAATGGAGGGAAAATTAATTCTCTGGGTGGGAAAGTGAGAAAACTTATGGGAAGCCACTGAAAGGAATTTGCTGTTGAGTTTCAAGATGAGTAGGAGCTTCCTAGATGAAAAAAAATAAAAAATTCTAGAAAAAGAATTAAAATGTTTAAAATGTATATGAATGAAACAATACTGAAAAATTTTCCATGTCACTATTTCTATTTTAAGAAGAGCAGTCAGCACTGATTCATTTTAGGCACTAACCATGTGTCAGGAGTCCTGATGTGGCGCTGTGGGTTAATGAGCCAGACTGCAAAGCTGTTTGAACTGCAAGGTCGGTGGTTCAAGCTCACCAGGTGCTCCTAGGAAACCCTATACAGGGTCAACATGGGTCGGAATCGACTTGATGGCACTTCACAACAGCAACCATGTGTCAAGAAGCCCTGGTGCACAGTATGTTAATCACTGATCCGCTATCTGAGCCCCCTCCCCCACACACACACTCTGTGGCAGAAAGATGAGACAATTTGCTTCCATAAGGATTTACAGCCTCTGAAACTCAGAGAGGCGAACAGTTCTACTCTGTCCTACAAGGTTGCTGTGAGTCAGAATTTGACTCGATGATAATGGGCTTGTGTTTTTGTTTGTGGTTCAACCATGTGTTTGGCATTGTGTTAAATGCTTGACATGAATTAAAATTTTCACAAATATTATGTATGTAAGGAGTTGTGATAGCGTAAGGATAACAAGCTGTGCTGCTAATCACACGGTCAGCAGTTTGAAACTACCAGTGGCTCCAAGGGAGAAAGATGAGGCTTTCTGCTCCGTACAGATTTACAGTTTCTCTGACTCTATGGCACCTACATAACCACCATCACCATCACATATATACATATGTACACACACACACACACATAGGTCAGCAGTTCGAAACTACCAGCTGTTCCACAGGAGAAAGATGAGGCTTTCTGCTCCCGTAAAGATTTACAGCCTTGGAAACCCTGTACAGAGTTGCTATGAGTTGGAACTGACTCCACGGCACACCACCACCACCATCACACACACATATATATCTATACATATGTATAGATGTACTATATATACATTTATATAGTTCCCAAAGAAAATGTACTATGTCCAATTCACCCTTTTCCTACTGTTCTTCTATGATGATAAATTTCTGTACTCCATTGTAAAAGTATTTTAAGCTAACCTGCTCAATATCATTAACCCCTTCTCTGCTTGGATAAATTTAGTAACGCTGTCATCATTCCTGTTCACAGTCAGCTTCATATTTACATCATCTTCCCTCTCCTGCTTCTCTGAGACTGGTGGTTCTTCTGTGGACATACTTTAAAAATGTACATAGACAGTTTCCATTCAGTAGTAAGGCTTCATGGGCTCTTGAGATCAATGGAGCAGAACAGGACAATCAGATGGTCAGAGACATGTTTTCTTAAGCATATGAGGCAGAGGCATACAGTGTACTTGGCATTTCTTCACTGTGCAGAGATCATACTCTATTTCAGTGGTTCTCAGCTGAAGTGATTATTTTGACCCCCTACAAAACATGGATAGAATTTTGCATCACCAATGCCTTATTCATTGCAAAAAGTGTTTGTTTGTTTGTTTTTTTTACACAATATAAAAGGCCACTATTCCTGCGAACCCCACCAGATGGAATACATAGGAATCAATCTGATTACATCTATGTGCCAGGACCAAGCAGTGTTTCATTCTGCTATGCATAAGGTTGCTATGGGTAGATACCAACTCGATGGTACCTAACAACAACAACAGCATCTATGGGAAGAGTCTGTGTTGTTAGGTACTGTTGAATCAGTTTCAACTCATAGCGAGCCTGTCTAGTGTTTCCAAGTAGTGGCTGGTTGATTTGAACCACCAACTTTGTGGTTCAAACCAATCTCGTGGTCCAGTGCATTATCCTGCAGCACCACACAGAGACTCGTGGGAGGAGTCTATGGAGAAGCTCAAGTCAGTACCAGGGGCGGACTGTGAAATAGACCAATTGTTTGGTAAGGTGGAGGGTCAGAGAAAAAGAGGAAGCCTCCCCTCCCCAGCGAGATAGATTGGCAAAATGGCAGCATCAATGGGCTCAAACATTACAACAGTTGTGAAGTTGTTTGTGCATAGGGTAGCTATGAGTCAGTACTGACTAGATGGCACCTACAATAATAGGCAAAATGTTGAATGATGTAGGAAGCATCAAGAGAAGATGGAAGGAATATAGAGTCATGATCCTAAGAATAATTGATCGATGCGAAGCAACTTCAAGAAATCATTGGCAAAAAGCAAGGCTCTAGAAATTGATGGAATACAAATTGGAATGTTTCCACTAACTGATGCAGCACTACAGGCACTCAAACATCAATCCCAAGAAATGCAGAAGACCAACCGATTAGAAGAGATCCATATTGGTTCCCATTCCAAAGACAGGGTACCCAACAGAATATGGAAATCATCAAACAATAGCATTAATATCACATGCAAGTAAAATTTTGTTGAAGATAATTTAAAAACAATTGTAGCATTACATTGACAGGAAGCTACAAGAAATTCAAACCAGTTTAAGAAGAGGACATGGAACCACGGATGTCAGTGCTAACATCAGATGAATTCAGTTGAAAGCAGAGAACACCAGAATGATATTTACTTGTGCTTTATTGACTATACAAAGTCATTTGACTGTGTGGATCATAACAGACTATGGATAACTTCTAGAAGAATTGGTATTCCAGAGCTCATGAGAAACCTATACATAGACCAGAAGCCGATGTTAGAACAGAACAAGAGAATATTGAATGGTTTAAATTCAAGAAAAATGTGCCCCAGGGTTGTATCCTTTCACCATACTTTTCCAACCTGTATGCTGAACAAGTAATCCTAGAAGCTGCATTATATGAAGAAGAACGTAGCATTAGGATTGAAGCAAGATTCATTAACAACTTGCACTATGCAAGTGAAGAATTCTTGAAATACTTACTAATGAATATCAGACTACAGCCTTTTAATATAGATTGCACCTCAATGTAGAGCAAACAAAAATCTTCACACCTAGACTAATAAATTGCATCATGATAAATAGAGAACAGGTTGAAGCTATGGAACACTTCATTTTGCTTGGATCCACAATCAACACTCAAGGAAGCAGCAGGCAAGAAGTCAGATTATGCATTGCATTAGGCTAATCTGCTGCAAAAATCCTCTTTTTTAAGGTGTTAAACAGCAAAGATAAAGATAACAGTTTGAAGACTAAAGTGCACCTGACCCAAACCATTGTATTTTTGGTTGCTTCATATGCATGTGGAAGTTGGACAATGAATAAGGATCACAGTAGAAGAATGCATGCATTTGAATTATGATACTGGCAAAGAGTATTCAAAGCATTATGGGCTGCCAGAAGAACTAACAAATCTGTCTTAAAAGTGCAGCCGGAATGCTTCTTAGAAGCAAGG